AAAATTTCCCTTCATAATTTAGAGGTTTTTTTTTTTATTTTTAATTTTTTTAAAATTAATTTCTTTTGCATTCATTCACTGAACATCATCACAGCATACAAAATGTCATTTCCCATCCAGAATACACTGCATAGTAGCTTAATCATACATGTTATCACTGACAAATAATTTTCCATATTTTTATATATATATATATAATATATATTCCCCATATTTTTCACCCCATGCCATTTCCCACCTTCCTCCCACACTGTCTCTAGTGTATACAGTTGCTTTCCATTCTTCCCCCCATATTTTATTGATTCACAAAATATTTTAATTAATCTATTTTTAATGGAAAGTTCAGCTGATATATACATATCTGTAAACACATCTCTGACTTTAGGCATGAAGTTCTGTGTTGAATGAATATACTATAAAGTAGCACCTAGCTGATGCTATATAGTTTACTGCAGTCGTCAAATAGGATTTGTTAACATGTTTTTTTAATTTCAAGAAAAGCAGTTTTAGTTTTTTTTCTTTCATTTTTTTATTATTATTTTCTTTTATTATTTTGTTCATTTCATTTTCTTCCATACATTCAGTCACATTATTATTTGTCTTACAAAATGGATATTTCAACAGGTGAACATTTCTCCCTAGTACTGTTGATAAAACTACGAAATATCTTCAACAGATAATACCACACCTCTTTGTGCCATTAATGCTTTGTAGAGGTTTTTTTTTTTTTAAAGAATTATTTCATTTTATTCTATTGTCAGTATTTTATTATATTTTTTTGACTAGAGAGAGACAGAGAGAGAGAGAAGGAAAGTGAGAAAGCAAGCTGCTACCTGGCCCAGGACCTGAACCACAGTCAGCCATGTGAGAGTTCATCCGCCTTAACCACCATGCCGTTTGCCAGCCCCCAGAGCTTGTTTTAAATGCAGGATTTTTGTAAAAAGGCAAAGCTTTTTAAAAGATATAGAATATGATGGAAAATGCATTACTGAGTAAGAAAAGTATGAAAAATATTGGTATCAAGAATACAAAATTGTGGGACCAGCAGCTAGCGTAATGGCTATGTCGCTGGACTCCCCCGTAGTCGACCGCAGTTCGCGTCCCGGACCTGGTGGCTTAAAACTCACGCCGGGCATGTGTGTGTGCGTGCGTGCCCAAGATCCCTAGAGGAGAATGGAGGAGAAGGGATTGCGGCGTGGCCATCCCCCCCTGGGGAATGATTTCTTGCTTTCTGTCTCTCTGTTTCTGTCTGTCTGGCAAGTGCATGCGCCCTATGGCAAAAATGTCTCTCAAAAAAAAAAAAAAAAAAGATAATGTATTGAAATTTTTTTAATCTGGGAATTTCTGTGGATACTACTGGAGTATGTTTGCTTATTTCATTTAAAGTAGATTTTGCTCTTTTCATCATCATAGTTTTAAAACATTTACAAATTAAAATATATTGTTTTGTAAAAATAATTGTTTATTTAACTTTATTTATTTATTCATTTATTTTTAATTGGACCAGAGAGAGGCACAGAGAGAGAGAGAAAGACAGAGAGAGAGAGAAGATGAGAAAGCAAGCCACCAGGTCCGGGACTCAAACTGTGGTCGGCCATGTGGGAGCATTCAGCACTTTAACCATCATGCCACCCTCTGGTCCCTATACTTATTGTTTTAAAAAACAAAGTGAATTTCTAAAACACCCTTTAAGTCCATTATAATGTATAATAAGAAATATTTTCTATTGTTAGCAATTTCCAAATCAACATCATCATAGCAACAATACAGGAAAACAGACAAAGTACATTTCAGAAAAATGTGAGTTTAGTAAATTACTGTATGATAGTACGTTCCCAAATGGGAACTTACCAGGCTGAGTTTCTGGACTGTAAGACCAAATCCCCTTCTGACAACAGTGTGTTTGGATCTGTTTTTCTTCCGCTGGCAATTATAATTTTTTCAGTCCCTGTCTCCTGGGGTTTTAATGTTTCCATATACT